CTGGACACCTCCCAGATGGACTTTCACTTGGCAAAGCAGAGGCTGGAGGGACAGAGAAGCTTCAGAGGCAGAAGAGGAGGGATGGTCCCATTTCAAGGCTGTGGAACATCTCACCATCTACCTCACCTGCTGTGGGCTTTAAGAGATCTCCAGCGTGAGTCACATTCACCTCACACAGGTTTTGCTGTCTGAAGCCTTCACATCCAACCAAGCCACCTACATGGAGAGCCCAGGCAGATAAGAGAGGAGGAGAAAAGTTCTTGTTTGTATCAGACTTTTCCTATAATCTAGGCTGACTGCCCTTACTGCTGCCCACGTCCTGCAGCTGACGAGGAGCTGGAGCCTAGCTGAGAAGCCCAGATCAGAATTAAAGTCAGTCATCCCACTGCTGGTGCCAACAGCCACCCACCCACATAGGAATGTTATGTGGATGGGTCTCTACTAGAAGCTATCAACTACAAGAGGGGTTTCCATATTAGTCATGACCTATAAATATATACTCTATTATATATATATATATATATATATATGTATTGTAGAGTATAATCCACAGATTATAGAAGTCTGCCCCTTAGCATAGTTCACCCTGGAGGTTTCATGGATCATTTCACACATTTCAGTGTTAAATAACAGCCCCCTCTATATCCATAGGCATGTAAATGGATCAAACGCAGCTACCCCACTTACTCTCAGCAGCACTTTGCTCACAGGGCGAAAAACAACACAGCATTAAAAGAGGAGAGAGCACCAGGAGAGCAAATGAAGGACAGCATGAAAGACACAGGCTGCTAAGATGTCAGCTGCATTTATGAACTTCCATTATTAGCCTTCATCTTCATCCTTCAGCCTCTTCCAAATCAAAGTCCTTTCACTTTAAATAGTGCCACGCACCCAGGGGAAGCTGCTGAAAACACTCACTAGTGCAGTTTTTGCATGCAGCCAAGCCAGCCCATGCCTTGCAGTCAAAACCAGAGGCAAACAGCTTTCACCATTCCAACATGCCAGTACCACACGTGGAGCTTAAGGCCAAGCAAGGACATGGAGGACTTTGCACTCAAAGGAGCAGCCTTTTGAAGAGGTAGGATGGGCAACAACCCACCCTGCAGTGTGGGCACACTGCAGAGCAGGGAGGACAGGAGAGGCTGTTCACGCTGTTCCCAGGAACACAGACATGGACTAGGCCAGCAATAATCCCACGTGCTCCTCTGCCCAGTCGCGGCACACCAGTCCAGCCATAGCTCCCACACTGGTGTGCACAAGAGAGAGTGAAGTGCAACTGAAATCTTGATGGCAACGGGTAAGAAAATGTTCTTTAAATCAAAAACAATGCTGCAGTTTTAGCAGGGATGCCACATAGAGAAACCCACTGAAAGCTTCCTAGTTACTTATTCCCACTGTTTCGGCACACATACATCCTACAACAGTGTTTATTCCACTGGTAAAGTTTGCAGTAAAAGCAGCATCCCAGGCTCCCCTCTGCCCAAAAGGCAGCCCCGAGGCACACCAAGGCTGCAGGTTAGCTGGGAGTCTCAAGTGAGGAAGCGTGAGATGGGCAGGTCAGCACTTTTGGTATTGCTCATTAGGATGACTCACAGCTTGGATACAAAGCCAGGTAGATGAGGCTTACTCACTGCTCCTGTCAGCTGATCAGAGCTCGCCTCCTTCCAAAACCTGAGTTAGCAGTTGCCACCTTTGCAGACTACAGGGTAGCCAGACTTGCAGCAGCTCATTACCATCATTTAGGCTTGCATGAATCACCCCACGTTGGGGGGACCAACCACGGTGCTGCAGATGGGCCAGGAGGGATGCTCTGGCTTCCCTGCTCCATGTGCTTTCTCCATGACTCCAGTAGCAGCCACCAGCTGGTGGCACATCAGCTTTCCACTACCGTGTGCAGGAGCTGCTGCTCCCTGTAGGGGGATCAGTCACTATGTGGGTGGTCCCCAGGCTGGAGGCTGCCAGGCTTTAAGCCACCAAATAACTTTGCTTCACAGCAGCCACTTGTGTGAGCCAAACTATGGGTCTGCCCTCCTCACAGGGCCCAGAAGTCAGTGAGATCATTTCAAGGGAAAGAAAGCTGCAAGGAAAGTGTGAAATAAAGACATCTATGTCCTCAAAGTCACACAGGCACCTGCTGCTGCATGAAATCAAGGGTGAAGTGGGTTTTATTTGCACCTTTTAAAATCCAGGGTGTGGATTTCCTCCCAGGCTGGCACCTGATCCTCAGAAACCGCACACACTGAGGACTGAACAGCAGAGCTCCAGAAAGGTTCTTATGTGTCATCCCAGGTTTTGCAAAGTGGCACATTGCAAACACCTGAGGTATCCCAGCTCCTTTATCTTTGCTCTGATAATGAATGTTTTGACCTTAGCTAGTCTCCCCCACCTCCTTATCTGTATAAACCCACCATTTCAGAAGCAGTGGTTTTGGTACTACATTGCTGACTCTTGCAACTTGGGCAAAATTGCTCCAGAAATCAGAAATTTGTAGGTCAACATTTGTTAACCTTGTATTAAACTGTGTGGTAATTACTGCCTCTGTGTTACACCATGCACTTGGCAGTCGCTGTGAGCTCATTTGTACAAATACCTACTCATGGCTGTACTTTCATCACACTGGTTTACTAAAATAGCTGCCATATGGGAAATGCATTTTCATGGTCAGTTTTCTCCTTCCCCAGCCACATTGCTCGCACATCTCCTTATGTTCTCAGACCTGCATGGCACCAAACCACTGGCATCCCCTATGTTTGGCAGGGAGCTAAGGAGCATTTCCGTGTTTCCCCACATTAGTAATGCCCTTATTCTTAGTATTTGGGATGTTAGAAAACAGGTGGAGAAATGAAAGGAGATTTCTTCCAAAAATACATACCCTTGTTCTCAAAAAAAAAAAAAAAAAAAAAAAAAAAAAAAGGGATTAATTCAGGCTCCAATTAGGGAGATGGTGAAGATAACCCTATAAATAACAGGCACTACAGCTGCTCATTGAAAGATCATTGGGCCCTCCTGTAACAAGCCAGAATAAAACACAGTATTTATAAGGATGCCTACTGAAAAAAACCAGCAGGGGGGAGAGAGAGAGAGAAGGGAAGAAAACATCTGACCAAAAATTGTAATTAATCTGTGGAGGAGCAGGTGACAACTTAGGAGATCCAAGAATGCTGGTTTTATAGTCATGAAAATAGTACTGAACACTGCAGGTCTGCATTCAGGACACTGAAAGAGAAATCCTGTGAAGCAAGCAGGTGGGGCTGATTTTAATGCAAGGAGGAAGTGTCTCTGAAGTTATCAATTTTCTTTTCAAAAAGATTCTTGCAGCAGGCAAGGATCAAGTAATTACTTTGCCCCTGTTCACAAGATATCTCAGAATAGTAACAGACCACACACCCAGGAGATGATTAAAGGAAGCCAGGGGTCAGGAACACAGAAAAGCTTGTGATACAGAAGAGAAGATTTGCATGGCCATTAATATTTCATGACTTACAAGCCATGTGGTTCAGAACAAATATCTGCACAATAAAGCAGAACTCTCTGCCATCAGGTTGCATATTTCAAGACATACCTGAGTCATAAAGGTATTATTCACATGCCTTTACCCACGGAAAGAATGCAAAACTGTCTGAATCCTTATTCCTTTCGTAGGAGAATGTGGAAAGCCTTTCTGAAGGCTCAGCAGGATTTAAGTGGGGCCTCTGCCCTCTGCTAGACCTCTGCACTAGTGAGTTTCAGCCTAAAAGCAAAGCACAAGTAGCGTGTTTCATACTGCAGGCCTATTAGATCCACTACAAAGGAAAAGAGCTGCTGCACTGTCAGTATGTCTCTGCAGCCTCTACTCCAACCCATAAAACAAAAGTGCTATTTATATGCAAGTATATAGGTAGCAGTGCAGACAGGAGATATTGTATTCTCTGCCATTGTTCCCATTTTAGACACATGAAGGTGGTAATTGAATTAAAAAAAAAACAACAACAAAAAAACAAAACAAAAAAAAAAACCAAAGCTGGTAATTGAATTTAAAAAAAAAAAAAAAAACAAACAACAAAAAAAAAAAAAACCAAAAAAAAACCCCCCAAAAAAAAACCCCAAAAAAAAAAAAAACCCAAAAAACAAAAAAACCCACCAAACCATAAATGACTACTTTTCTCCCAGTGAAAAGAACAAGATGTGTCAGGGGTTAAGCAGAAGTATTTCGTCCCAGGATCTTGGCAATTACGCCTGGTGAGATTTCATTCTGGGAAAACAGAGTTTATTGTGGTAGCATAAGCAGGCCCTTTCCTCACAATCAAAGCTAGGAATTTTCCCTGCCTGCACTTGCCTGTATGTGGCTGGAATAAGCAAGTGGAGCGAGCTGCTTGTGACTCACCGGCACAACCGGACTCTCCTGTTGCTGCCAGCCTCTGACAGAACTTTTTTCCTGCCTTTGCACCTGGGCTCTCCCTTTCCCAAGCTGTTGTAGGCAGTGAGGCTCCTGACTTGAAAGAAATGCTGAGAGCCAGAGTGACATTGCTAAATCGCCCAAAGGAATTGCTCAGAGCAGGGAGGCATGTTAGCATTGCTTGTCAAAGCTGCTGCTTCTCTGAGTCTCTTAGTGCTCTCTGTGTGTGTGAAGAAAAAGGTGAGAAGAAATGAGAAGTTGTGGGGAGGAAAAAAAAATAAAAAAAGCACTGCACCAGAATTTCACCACTGTTTTACAGACAAGAATAAAAAGTCCTTGCTTGGGGGATTTATAGCCAAAATGAGTCTAATATCACAGGGCTTGGCTGCCCTGATTGAGTGCTTTGCAAATTACTCACATGAGCAGCCCCACTGACTCGTCTGAAGGATTCTTCCACGTGCAGTCTGGCTCACAGTGAGTAGTGACAGCAAACTGCAAGAGGAAAGGCATGACAAGGGAGAAATTGCTCTAAGGCAACATTATTTACTGCTTCCCTCCCTCCTAAAAAGAGTCAGGTGTTTTGACTATTTCATTCATTGACTTCACCTTTATTTTAAACCAGGTGCTTGCCAGAGTGGAAATAATTCATTTCAAGGTTCCTTCACACAGGGAAGTCTGAAGACAAATCCGCAGCAGGTGAAAGTCCTACTTCATAAATATAACTTATTATTATCATTGTGAGGCACATGACAACTACTAAAGCACAGTTGTTTACTCCACCAAGATAAAATTTTGGAAGAGTCTTGACTGAGGAGGTAAATTCTCCACCTTCCACTACACTGCTGTTGGCCCAAAGTCTTTGGTTGCTAGCTGTCTTGTGGTTGACTGTGACCAGGGATAAACTGGTTAATGCTGGATTTTGCTGAGGTTAGTGATGTAGCTGATGAAGTGATTTTGATTTATATCTGCCTGCTAACCCTGGTTCTTTCTTGAAAAACCCAAAGCTGTCACTCACAAATGGCATCTATCTCTCTCCTTCCAAAGCAAATTGAAAGCTCACTGAAAAATTTCCATCCTGAATGTAACCATTCACAACTACAGGCCTGAAGCTGCAAAAACTGTTGTTCTTGCTTCAGAGTTAATTATTTTAAGGCATTTCATTTTCAAAAATTGTATGTTATGCTGAACAACGTGAACCTCGCATGATTGCAGAGCAGATCTCACTCCTGCCAACCAGGTTTTCAATATAATCCCATTTTTTTCTTGTCCTCCCAGGTCTCAAGCACTGCCAGTGCTCCCCACTTCTACATTTCACTGGTGAAGAGACAAAGCAGCGCTGTTTCCTGCAACTGCATCTCTGTCCCTTTGCCTCTCCTTGGACTTGCCAACTGTGAAAAATGGGAATGCAGCTCCATCCATCCCCAGTGAGCCTGTGGGACTCAGATTGTTATAAACACAATCATAGAATACCAGGGATTGCAAAGACCATCTAGTCCAACCTTTCTTGGTAAAAGCAGTGTCTGCAATGGGCTAGTACGCTGTGCAGCTGAACCTTAGCATCCAAAACTGGAGAATCCACCATCTCTCTGGGGAGGTTATTCCAATGGCTGCTGTCCTCCTTATAAAAAAACTTCTTGTGCCCAACCAGAATCTTCCCAGGAGTAACTTGGTGCCCATCATTTCTTGAGATGACCCTCCCTTGAGACAGCACTGCTGATAGGTACGCTCTGAGGTGATCTGCTCTGAGACTAGGACTCAGCTGGCCTGCGGGATTCTGGAAACGATATCGTGGGTCGGACTCAGTAAGAAGTCAAAGGTATTTTGTTTTGCTCTCATGCTTTATTCTTAAGTACATTCAAGATCGTGAGACACTTTGACATTGTGATGGTACTGGAGTGCACTCAGCATTGTACTGCTCGAGCACTCCACAAACTCAAATGTGGCCATCCACAGCTTACCCTCTGCTGGGGTTCTCCTGTTAACCTCATTTCACTGACAGGAAACTGAGGGACAAAGGTTCAGAGCAAGAGCACCAAAGGTACTTGAGTAAAGAGTAGCTTTCATCATGGGTGGCTGGGGAATGCAAAAGGCAAAGTTACAGCCACACATGCTGCGCATGTGAAGACAGGGAGAAACGCTGAGAGAGACGGACCCCAGCAGCCAAGCTGCCCAGCTGGCTCCTGTGGCTGTGGTAGCAGGATGGGGGATTTACTGACCAGTGCTTTCCCTCTGCACTCAGGTAGCTATATGGTCTCTGGGTACCAGGGGTTTTCTTTCTGGATGATGTTGTCACTGGAAACTGACAAAAGAAGGTAAGGCAGTGGTGTGCTTTCTGGAAGACCACAAAAAAGATTCTTTTGATGAAAACCTCAGTGACCACTCTCCGTATCTTGACACATCACTTAAAGTTATGGTGGTACTTTGTGGATTTGGCTGCAGAGGACTTGCCCAAAACTGCACAAATCATCAGCAATGAAAGAGGCATCTGAAACCCAGGCATTCCAAACATTAGATTTGTGCCCTCAATATCGAAATAGCTCTCTTCCATCTGCTTGGACTCACGTGTAGCTAAAACAGGCTTTCTAAATAATGTCACATTTGATCATCCTGGTCTAGACCTTAAGTCTAGATCTACCAAGAATGACCTGTGCCACCTCACCATCCTAACGAAGGGAGAATTCATCTATGAAATGCAAGACAGCACAGAAAGGGGCAGGGCAGAACCTTAGAATAAAAGAACAAGAAATTCAAATTAGGCTGAAGAAGGGAAAAATTTCCAACAGAGAAATTAACAAGCTTGCTTAAGATAACAGGGAGATATGGTAAACCAGTTCTGCAAGGACTGAGATAATTTCAATTTTCATCACTTAAAATTCCAGCCTACAGTCTCTGATGAACTTCTTGTCAACACAGTATGGGCTTGACAGCGCTGCTCTTGTTTAGGGTTGTTTTCTCTTCTTGGCTCATATAAAGTCCAGAGTAATTTTCAGTCATCTGTTCAGGACAGGGTTCAAAGCTCTGATATTATTGTTATTCTTTATCTTCTTTCAGTCCACATTGGTATACATTTCCTATTTTCTCTCAGAAACAAAGCTGAAGATCTACTTCATTCATTGCCTTTCAGAGAAAGAATCAAAATTGTCTCATCACTAAGGTTATACAGAAAAAGTCACACAAGGGCATGCAAGTAATGGCCTTGTGGCCCCCTCAGCAGTGCTGGATCCACTATTCATGGAAGATCATGAAAATGATCCAGAGATTAACTAGAGTAGTATGCTTGTGAAGGTCTCCAGATTGCACCCATGTTAAAAACAGGAGTGGAGTTTGCCACAGCAATTAACATTCAGTAACATTTCTGAACTGGTAGCAACGTTTGAACTTTCAGTGGTTAGCAGATAGGCTAACAAATAAACTGTGCTCCCTGCATCACAAATTTACAATGTTTTACTCAATATCTGAGGTCAAGACCTTAAAAAGGCTGTGCTCTATGAAAAGGCACATACCTAGGAGGGATCTGCAGTAATCTCATCATTTCACTACTCTGAACTGCACAAGGTAGTCTCAGTTTCATGAAAACCTTGTCTGGAAATCAAATAAATTGCAAAGGTGTAGACAACTAACAAGATAAATATTACACTAACATTTTATTGTGAGTTGCTAATACACACAACACAGTGAGACTCTAAAACAGTGATCCCAGTATCTTTATCATATATTAACACATTTCCCATAATACTCCTGCTCACTCAACCTGCCTTTTTACTGAAGTAACTTCAATTAAAAACAAATCCCTTTAAAACACTACTCCAGGAGGTACAGACTGATATATTTGTCATGATATTAAGAAGACCTGGATACAAAATACAGGGCTTCATTTTCACATGAGTATGAAAGCAAACCAGAATCAACACTGAACACTTGTTTGCTCAATGACTGACCTATGGCAGGAGGACCTGGGAACGTCCTTAACCTTCAGCAAGTTAATAAACCATCTGCTTAATAAAGGTCACCCTCAGTGAACTGAAAATCTACAGAATTCATTCTGAAAAGGTCCCACAAACAAAAATATTTTTTTTTATGCTTAGCCTCTTGTCTGTATAAGGTGCTTAAAAATACATGAACTTTAGAGAAAACACCTTCATTTACTGATAAGTTGCTGAAATGATGCAGTCTTGGTGTGTGCAATTAGTTGATATTTTTTTTCCTTGAACCTCACGTCTGAATTTATCTAGTTTACTTTTCAAAGTAGTAACCTTATTTATTGCTGAAGATGAAAACACTGAAAATGCTGTGAAATTAAAGACAAATATATGCTATGCTACTTTGTGAAAAAAACCCCCACCTTCCTTGGGAGTTACTGATTATTAGTCATTGTTAATTTTTAGAGTTCAACTCAACAGGAACTGGCTGTCAGTTTTGTACTTTTAACTGTTTGAGAACTTCACAGGGTCACCAAAAAACAGTTGGACTAAGTCTCTTTTTACTTCTGCTGGTAGACGTGAATGCCAACATGGAAGAGTAATTTCTGACACTGCACTTTGTACTCTTTTCTGTCAAAGTCTCTCATTATTTTGACACAGATAATGGCTAAGTTTGTACTGTCTCAAGGCAACTACAACAAGGAGCCATCTAGTAGTGTCAGGCCATCCCCCATAAACATACCAAAACACACAGACAGTGCTGGTAGAATGGTGACAGTCTGTTGATAAAAAATTTCGAAACTCCACATCTAGCTTTAACTTGCAGACCTATAAATGCAATTCCTAACATGAACGTGACCATAAACAAGTATCACTGCCTTGGTGCAAGAGGTAAGAAAGGTCAAGACAATTCTGCTCTCTAGGGATCCAGATGGATGAAGGAGGGGGTTTCAAGAGTGCAGCCAGAGACAGCACAGAAGGTGAGGCTGTGCCCACACTCCAGGCCAGGAATACAGGGTACAGGCAGACAAAGGCTGCTTTACCTGCTCGAGCAGCACATGCCAAACAGCATCCCTACATTCTGTGAACTTCTAAGACTATTAGCTCAGATACAACTATATGCCACTACTTTGGTGAAACTCATGATACAAAGTGTCTTCAAAGACAAATTATGCCAAATTTTTCATCCTTGATAAGTGCAGAAGTGTACCTGAACACTGGTGTTTAGCCTCCTCTCCCCTACTCTACCACACTTCTAAAGATGCCACACTTAAACTTATCCACTTCATTTACTTCTGAAGCAAACTTTTTTTTTTTTCATTTATTTAAGCAGCGTAAAAGAGAAGGAATTTTTAGCAAAGAATACCTTGGTAAAGAAATTGTCCTTAACTAAAACTAAGTATCATCACACAAATATTAAGGAAAATATAGAACACCACAATCTAGTTCTACGAAGTGTGTTTCTTGCTAGGTTCACAGTAGGCGGGGTGGCAGACATCTTCATTTTCTACAGTAATCAGAAACTATGCCCCAAACAAGTGTGTTAAAGTAGTACTTCTTTCTTATTTGCTCTGATCAATTTAACAATTATACTTCCAAAGTACAATATCCCCAAAATCATGTGGTTATCATTGCAAAATTCCTAGAACTGATGCATCTACAAATCCATATGCAAAATGCGTATTGCATGTTTATGATATATAATGCATACTTCCTTCATTTACAGTTACAAACAACATATGCAAGAAGAAACTGCTAAGCAAAATATATCCTGATAATCAGACGACCATGAAAGTTTAAGCCTGTTCAACAACTGACCTCTTTCGTAACACTGCTAGAAGCATTAATGAAAATTTAAGTGTGAAAAATGTACATTCTTTATTCTGTGGCTTAGATACAGAATAAAATTTAACTTTTCAGAAAATAAAACTATAGCTACAACTTTGAGAGCTGTCAGTTTTCTTTTGAGGATAAAGTACATGCACTTTTTCCAGTTACTTTATTGCACATAATGTACAGTCATAAATGGTGTTTATTTACATGTGTTTTGGCAATGTCCATGTTTGCTTTTCCCCTCAGAATACATTATTTTGCACAAACAAAACCTTAAATGTTTCATACAAACTGCTATAATACAAGTCAAAGCATATATACGTATATATGTCGCTTTATTGTTGCTGTATTTTCAATTAATTCTACTAAGAGTTTCAGATCTCAGTTAATCTTTGCCTTGGGAGGCAGACTCCTCCCAGTTAGTCTGTTGTCAAAGACGGACACCCGAATTGCAGGCACCAAGAAATTAGGACTGCAGCCTGCTGTGCCTAAGCCCCAGCCCCTATGCACCACCTGCAATTAGTGCGCAGGCACAGAGAAGGAAGAGCACTGTACTTTCGTTAACCAGTTTGATTCAACATTGATTACCACGTGTTAATGTTATGGGTCATGTGTTATTTGGACAGTATTCCATTAACGGTGTTTTAGAAAAATGTATCAAACATATTAAAACAAAACAGAAATTCCCGTGACAGTTATGTACTTCCAGCCCTAGGAATGTGTTACTCAGATTCCATTCTGCATAATGTGCTATTTCTGATAACTGGTATTTTTATCCAGACACAAGGAACTCAAGTTTCATATACTCATAAGTATGTTTCCCCCAAGTTAATTTCTTAATGGATGGTAACACACTTCAATGTTTCCCTGCATTTTCAGGGCAGAAAACCTTTTAGTGGTCCCCCTCATGGAGTACAACCTGGCAATAAACATTTTGCTACATGTAGTAACAGTTTTAAAAGGTATGTTCAAATAAAAGATCAGTATTGTCAGTATACTGAACATATGCTCGTTAAAAATATCTTAAGGATGTTCTTGAAAGGCACTTTATAACAGGCACAAAAATACTCTTGAAGAAACCAAATTTGTAATTTGGTACAACACTTAAGATGTGAACAGCATTGCTCAGATTCTGCTTTGAAAGTCTAGATTATATTTTTGTTTATATTCTCACCTACAAAAAAAAAAAATAAATTTACCCTAAGATAAAACCCACTTTATTGGATCAAAGAGCAATTACCTAATTGTCTTGAATGTATGATCTTTCAAACATTAAGACAATTTAATCTCAGAATGATAAGAAAAAGAAGCTAACTTCATTGATTTAGCAATATTGAAGTCATCCTCAAATTCGGTGATAAAAACAGTTCGTACCTTTCCTGTAAGCAGGCAAAGTATAAAATAGTTAAATTTTCAGACAGGCACTCAGGTAAATTGAGAAATACCTTTGGTGGGCAACAATAATGAATATATTATTTTTATTTTAGTTTTCCTACTTTTTTCTGTCCTTTAGCTTTAAAATACTACAAAATTTACAGCAACTTCGACTACTGCATATACTGAAGAATGAGATGAAAATGCACTGTGGACAAAGTATAACAGTAGTTAACATCTATTGATAAAAACTCAAAATAATAAAAATATTACAGAAAAGCAGTAGTTCTGGAAATAGAAGTATTCTTCAATAGAAAACATTAAAGTTTTTTTCCATCTGAATAGTTTCACCTATACTGGACAGAGTACTTCATCAAACTACATATGCACCTCTGATAAAATTCTTTAAGAGTATAAATTATTTGCTCTGTAATGACACTTGTTCCATTATCCAGTCAAAAGGTCCTGATACTATCTGTTATAAATATCTAATATTTTTATCATCTGCCTGTGGCTGAGTTTTAGGACAGCAATATGATCTGTTTAATTAAAAAAGAAAATTCTGCACAAGTGAAACTATTCAGAATGAATTAGTACTTCATCTCTACCTAAAATTTTTCTAAAACAAAGAACTACGTGCCATTAGAAAACTAACAAATGTCATCAAAACTAGACTATTTTTCTCCATAAAATAAAGATGCATAAAATTTTAATTACTAGCAATACTGTGAGAACTCTATTTAAAAAGGTTTATATTGCATGTATTTCAAGATAAATAGTTTGAAATGTCATAAATTAAAGGAGGAATTTGAACAGATGCAGTTTCCTCATCTGAATTTTTACTATCTACAGGAAAAAAATGGACTTTCAGGAAGAAAACTGTTGACATCTGAAAAGTTACCTACATTGAGGATCTCCCTCAACATTAGTGGTAATTACTGCCCACTTGGTTACAAATGCAGAACTACCTGGGAAATGTAAAGGAGCCTCACAGCGTAGTTCTAAGAAAGGGGAAGCATATCTGTAAAAATATTTGCATAGATGTACATTCAAAACAGCATTTCCACCATTTCAATTCCCTGCATTCATGTTGCTCCAGTCATCCACAGGGATAAAGATCACATAAAGGCAGCTCTGGAATTTGAAATGGATGTTGCTTGGCAATTTAGTGAAACGTGTATTTTTGTACTTTCTGCAGTCACTAGGAAAAGATTCAGTTTGACCTTTGGCTTACAGAAGTTGTACTTCCCTGAGCAAGGCAATACTGATAGGCTACAGCAGAAGTACCAAAAATAAAGTTATTTGAAACAGCGTGGTATAAATAAGGCACTTTTGCCAAAGGAAAGCCCCAGGTTTTGTGTATCAATGTACAGCAATTCTATCCAGAAATATTCTGTGCTTAGAAACGTCACATGATGCAACAGTGAATCAGGTGCCAAAACCAACAAATCACAAATTACTGTGCGATTAACTGCAACCTCTGAATGGTTCAACAAAGAATCAAACTGGTTTCTGTACACCGTCATGATTTACCAATACACTGGCATCTTTTGCTCTTTTGCTGTGAGCCAACAAGAATTATTTTAGAGAAAGAAAAAGAAAAGTGTGGAATTAGTAATGCAGATGCTGAAAGGCAAGTGGCAAGACTCTACAAGAAGAATGCCTCAAAAATGCTACTTTGTTCCCATTTCTACTGGCACCTATTCCCCAAGGTAAAAGGCCAGAATGACCAAAGCCAACTTAATAGTAGTGTGCAGAATGTCAGCTGACAAACAACATAAAAACAAGTCACGTTGTGTTATCTGTGGTCACGTTCTTCAGGGTTAGTCCAGTAACTCAACTTTACATTCTTCCGTCTTTATTTGTTTATTTTAATTAAACATGTAATGGTTAATAAACAGACATAATCCAGAGTTAGTAGGTTGGTATTATAACATTTATTAAAATAATGCTATGGGTTAATAGAAACAGCAAAGAACCAAAGAATTAAAATGCAAGCTATGTAAAAACCCAACTAAAACCCAAATATGTCTAATGTATTCATCCAGTAGCTAACTAAAAGCCCAAGAAAGACAACACTCCCAATATAATAAAGTACTGCAAAACAATTGGCAATTTTTCAGTTATCAAAATCGTGGGTTTTGCATTTTGTATCCTTTTTTCTCAATCAGGAAAAAAATTCTTTTGAATGTTATATAACATACATATAAAACAAGATAGAAAAATACATTATAAACTTGTAACAATGGCTGTAAATACATTATCTTACATGTTTCTCATAGGCAATAGGTTGGTTATGGTACATACATAGCATGAAACTACTAAGATAATAAAGAATAGACAAATACATGTCATCTGTACGGTTACATACAAGCGACACTCCCATCTACCCACTCTAAAAAAATTACATAATACTGTCAGAAAGAAGTCTTAAAACTACTTATTTTAATAAAGAAAAAGTCATTAAAGAATGATAATACTGAGAACCAAGGCATTCAGAGATTTCAAAAGTCATGCTTTTTTTAAGCTGATCCAAAATTTTGTCAACTAAGTTTTCAGAAGTTTGTTCAGAGCAAACATTACTTTCACATGTCACACATCTATTCCATACACTTCCCCTCCCCCCCAGTAAAAGACCTTTGATAAATGTTTAAAATGTCCAGGTTTTATCATAGTTGAGATGAAACTGGATCAAATACTGGTATTGTTTTAGCAAATCTCTCTTCAAATGTTCGAGTGTCGCAAGTTTATTCAACCAACCAACCAAAATAAAATCAAAATGGCACAGCATATATTGTAAATAAAATCAACACAACTTTATGTGTAACAGGAAGACAAAGCTGGTGGCACAATAAACAAAAATCTAGCTGAATACGAAAGGATGAATGTCTATTGCATAGTAAATAAACTGATAATTATTTCCAGGTGAGACAAGATGTTAGATGAGGTCACCATGCAGGTGCTTAAAAATGTAAGCCCTCTTAGCTTACAATTGACCTTTCATTTGGAAGCTGTGAAGATTTGCAGGAGGAGAATAAGTTGACAAGAGGGGAGTAAAATTATCACCTGATATTTGCCAAGTTTAGTACTGAGCCCCACAATGTAACACTTAATGTTTTTGAGAATACTGTGCGTTCAGCAGCTTCAGCTCTTGCAATTGCCCAGCTATTCAAACCTCATGTGGAAACAAGGGTTAAAAATAAGGTATAGCTGGACTTCAAATGGCTGAAGTCCCTCTCCTGCTTATCTTTTCAAGAAAAGCCAATGGGCCAGATCTAACAATAGTCAAAGACGAGCTGAAAAGTAAGTAATTTCCGTGCTGTTTGCCACTGCAGGAGCTGTTTGTGGAAACTGGGGATGTGCTCAGTCACTGACTGAAAACTCACTAAGCACTTTCAGTTTCGTTACCTGCAGAACATCCATTTTCTGGGTGATGCCGAAGCCTACTACAGTTGATGTAATATTTATTTCAACCAGAATCAAGAAAACTCCTCTCCATCCCTGAACAAAAATGACGTAACTTCCAGCTCTACAAACATTTGTCAGCTAATAATCTCCTTTAGCATGAGACAGTCTGTATCACAGAACCCTTTGGTTTACGTTGCACAAGTACGGCAGTTGCTATGATTTAAAAAGTAGAGTGGCTGAAATAATAATGGGCTGGTTTGATGAAAACTTAGCAAATACTTCACTTAATGAGATTTTGGCAAAGTCACATCACACTTGTATGGCAAAAATCAGGTAATTAATATGGTCAACTCATCATTTGTCTTCCCTCACAGCTTCTTTCACATACTGGGCGACTGAGTGGCATGCAGTAACTTGTCTGAGGGAGAAGCTGATTATACAAGACATTTGACTAAATGACCATGAAGAAAATAAGGCACTTCCTTTTCTTTAGACTTATTCCAATACTTAAAAAATAAAAAAGAAAGACTAAAAGGCTCTTTTGGTCTTTTGTTTCTTGACAACCACCAGAAAAAATCATTTAATGAAATAAAGGGTTTCTTTGTTCTTTTTTTCTTTTTTTTATAACACTTGAAAGTATAAAATGCTACATTTCCAAAAATATATTTTTTTTCTGCACCAGCACCCTTGTATAGTAAAAGTATCTACTTTTTTGTTCATTTTGTTTCAATGCACTACACTTTATCTACATTTCATTACATGTATACAGCAAATAGGCAAGCATGGCTTTTACATCCTTAATGAAATTTTTTCTATACAGGGAGGTTTAAAAAAAATATTTGAACAGTTTGCCCAGTAATGTGACACATAATGCATGTACCTTGTTCTCATGTAATCTTCCAAGGAGATTAAAATATGGTTAAAACAATTTAAACTTGTATTTCGCTTCAATAGTGTTGCTGTTTTGTTCTCTGCATTAATGTAGTTCTGCAAAGTCATCATAATCTGCATTTCATGGCACACTTTCCTTTAAAACGTCCAATTTGGCAGGCAATAGAAAAAAGGCTGCAACATCTGCCCTTTGAGGGCACTGGTAGTGACTAAACAGCATATCAAATTTTGAATACTTTTTGGAATCCCTTCCCCAATGACATCCCTGACCAAAGGTTCATGCATGATGCATCATCACACAGTACATTCAGAGAGAGCTTTGACTTTTTTTTTTTCTTTTTTTTTTATTTTTTTTTTTTTTCTGAGAAGAAAAATATTCCTAGAAGTCTCTCACAGTAACTGCCTCTGTCATCGGGTAGTTAAGGGACATCTGTCTCCATCTCGTGCGAGGCCTCCTTACCGTTCGCTTGGGGCGGGACAATAGAGGATGATCAGTGCGGAGGGATGAGTTGGACCTTATTGCTTTACTACTATTCAGTGCAGGTTCTAGAACCACTTTCACCCAAACAGGAGAACAACAAAAAGCGGAGTTGGAGGACAACAATTTCTTTGTCTGTTTTGTTAGATGGTAAGACGAACGGACAAGTGCCCCAGCTCGCTGCACTGAAGACAGGCAAGCAAAGGCGTTTACCAGTTAACTGATCAGCAGGCAGGCATGGTCAGGTCATCATTGGGTGAAGAGTTCAGAGGTCAGAAGGTCATAGGTTAGTTGCCGGTGGCGGCTGGGTGGTTAGAAACAAAAATAAAAAAAAAAATAAAAAATAAAAACAAAAACAAAAAAAAAAAAAAAAAGAAAGAAAAGATAGAGAAGAGATTAGTTCCAGCTAGTGACGGCTTAATGACAACATGAAAACTAATCACAACTAATAAAAAAAACAAGCATGTTTAATTCTGACATACTGATCGACACCATCTACAGAATGCAATAAAATCATGACAGCCCTCCATCATGATTTGGACACGTGAAGGAGAAGCCCACTCCCACAAAACTGGTTAACAGGAGAAATAGAGATAAAATATGACTAACGACTAATGGTTAGTAGCAGTCGATGAAGGAAATTGGAAAACAAAAAAACGATGAACAGTTTCTGAACTGGGTAGAAGATTTCTGGAACAACAGTCAGTGCACAGCATCAGTATCTGACTGCTATTAAGCATTAGTACCTCCCCAGGTGCAAGCATCAAAGCAACTATTAATGATGGATGTGATTATTAATAACTGGTTGTTAAAAGAATGGAGTAATCTAAGGAATTCTGGACTTAGAGAAACAATTTGGTTCAACAAACTATGGGCCAAACAAAGGGTTTTTGTTCAATAAATTTTTTATTGCCTTTCATTTATTCTATTTACAAACAACATGGAATTTCTTGGCCTCATGATACAAAGCAGTACTATAAACTGTAGTCTAGCAACGTAGGCATCATCGTGGAAACCAGGAAAACGCTCAGCCTGCTACTATAGCTAGCATTTTCCCGTTCAAAATACTATTTTACACATATAGGACACTTATAAAATGCACTTGCATGTAAACACTGTAGAAGTCCTGCCATTTTAAAGTCTATACTTAAAAAGCTCTAAGTACATGAAAAAATAGAGAAAATATCTAATTGATACTAATAAGGCATTTTAAAACTACAAACAGCTCTCTTTATTCATTTTCAAAGCTAATACTCTGCAAATACAATAAAATCTGACATTTCATATACATTCCTGCTTTATATTTTTATATTTTAAAAGAAGCCACCTGTAAATACTATTTTCTTTTGCAAAACAAAAAAAAGGAAAAAGAAAAAAACAACAAAACAAACAAAAAAATAAAACCCAAAACCACAAACAAATTACAGTAAAACATAAAAAAGTTCTCAAGTGGAAAGTTATCATTCCCAATGTTCTTGAGCTATTCCTTCTTTAATCATTCTCTTGCATTCTCCTTCACCAAACTTGGTCCACTTAACAGTAGTATAATTTTTAAATTTTTCTTTTAAGACTCATTCAACAGCTTAATTAGAGCTAAGAAATTCTGAGGTTGATAAAAGTTTCTGTACTGTTGCCATTTTGACTAAGGCAGAGGAGATGAAAGTGAGAAAGGTATTCAGTGCAAAGTCAGATTTGTGCCATTACATAAAATGAAGTCCAGTAGGTGTAATATTCACAGATACCATCGATTTAACAATCTTTCTTGTGGGTTCATTTACTTTCACATAATAAAAGTGGCCTATCATTTAGGATACAGTTCATAACACTACAAAAAATTACTACTGTAACATAAATGAGATCAAACGCTCCCTGAATTTTTTTTCAGAATCATGCTAAGTGGGATTTGCTTAAATTATAACAGCTGTTTCAAAAAGAAGAAAAAATAAAAATAAATATTTTATGTGGCACAATCTTACCACTTTACAGGTACACTAGAAACAGACTCTTAAAGCATTTTGATACTCATTACAATTTTGATTAAAAGGTATTAAAATTTATATATAAATTATGTGAAAATTGGTTTGGATAAAACATTTGAGAAAATTCTCAGCATTAATATTTCTTGTGGAGTTTAAAATCAAAGCAAGCTACCTTTATAAAATACCAGGACACCTGTGATACATCCTCTGCCAAGTCTCTGGCCTTCTACAGTACACACAGGTTTGTCAACTGTGCAACACCATTTACAGTTTATTACAATTAAATCAGTCAGTCTCTCTGTTATATGAATCAAATTCAATTTTGTATTATTTATAAACTGGGGTTTTATTCTGAGTTAAAATGAGCTATATTTTCCAACCCTTCACCAATTCTACATGTTTAGTTGTAAAACATTTACACATTTGGGGATTCTTGCTTTAAATGCAGTGCTTATCTCTGGAAAAACAACCCAAACCCCAACAAAAAACCAAAATTATGCAAAGAATAAAAACTACTTAAAAAGTGAATGCAGTAGTACTACAGAATCATCTGACAGTAAATTTAGAATTTTAAAAAAACCAAAAAACCACCAACTTTAGACCCGATGAATGTAGACAGATTTAGTGACATTTAACTACATAAAAAAATATTTCCACATTGGAAAAAGAAGTTATTTCGGTTTGCTGACATTGCTTTTTGTGGCCATAGCTATAGAAATATCCTGGTGACAGAACAGCCAAATAGGTGAATATGGCAAATACTGACAGTATTTTAATTCTACAATATAATTTCAGTAAATTAAAAAAAAGAAATAATGCTGAACAAAGTCATCACCAAAACCTTTTAAACTGTTTTTTGCAACATCAGGTCAAATTTTCAAAGACAACCAAATCATTATCATCAATTTCTCTTGACTGAGATTGAAAAAAAAAAAAAAAAAAGAATATTAAGACCTACTTTCTTTTTTACTCTTTTTTTTTTTTTTTTGGAAACATGGGCTGTGACATTTAATTGATTATATCCTGTTGCCCCATTGAAGAGTTCTCAAGAAATGCGAACAAGCCAATGGGCTGCAAATAGTGGGCAGTGATATAAAACAATCTTACAGAAAACTAAAGAAGTGTCCTGTATCAGCTTTACACTTTCTGTAAAGCCTTAAGATCATATCAAAGATAAAAATGTTACATAAATATACCAAATATCCAGGAGGGCCCCATTTACTGTATTGACCAGAATCTGTATTCTCTCTTGTAGTTAATTTATGGAAGGTTGTGAGAAGTGTGGTCAAAGTTAGGAGATGTCAGATCTGTCACTGGAATTTGGCTTTTGAATATTACAACATAATGGAAATCTGCACAACACTGATTTGGATGAGAGCAGAATAATAATACTTGGCACATAATGCTTTGCATCCTCAAAGCCCTGTACAAAACAAGAACCCCCACAACACCCCTGTGAGGTAGGGAAGTATTATTATCCTTATTTGACCAATGGGAAACCATACACAGAGGGATTAAATGACTTGCTGAAAACCACAGTGAGTCAGCAGCAGGGACGGGATAAGAATTCATCCCCCACACTGCTTCCTAGCCAATGTCAATAAACCGAAAATATCAGTTTTCTCAATAAGCTTAATAAACACTTCATTCAGGGGTCCAAAGGCATGACACTTGAGGAACAGGAGAAAAATGAAGATTTACTTTCCATTCAAGGGTTAAAGAGAGATGCCCAAATATTGGATGTCATCTCACCAACAGGTATTCAAAAGTTGTTTCTCCTTCAGGTTACACATTTTAGCAGCAAAAGGCAAACACCAAGAAATAGATTTTGGAAAAAAACCCCAAAACCAAACAGAAACCAAAACAACCAAAACACCCTCCCTTCCCCTACCCATACTAATTCAAACTGAAACAACTTTTGAAGTTATCTTCACAGCCCTTACCTTTCTGAATTCAGTCAGGTATCTGAGAACATGCATCCTCCTCATAATATACAGTACAGTGGCTCAAAAGTTTATTGGAAAAAAAGGAATCTAAATCTTCAGATTTCTCCAAACACAGACAGGAGGCATTTATTCCTTTACTTCTTTCTCATTAAGCAACCATCCATTCATTTTGTTTTGCAACACCAATCTGATATTTCCACGCCAATTAAAAGAATGAACCGGGGGCAGGGGGGGAAGGAGGGGAACACGACCAAATTAATTATTGCAGCACTGATTTCATAGCGTTTCCTGATGCAGATAGATGTTTCATTTTTAAAACTCAATCAGTTGTAGAATTTCTGTTAAATATATCAAAGTGTATATATATTTAATTGAGCTGGGAAAGCCAAGTTTAGAAATATTTTTTAAAACTGCAAGCATTCCCAAAGCTTTAAAACATTAACTGTCCAGGATTTTGAGAAAAATCATGAATGGGTCAAGACTGGGTATTTGGTTAACCAGCTGTGGTGTTGCAAATCTCATGTACACTCAAAGCACTTCTTACAAACAAGAACTGCAGAACTAAACTAACCTCGGTCTGCGGTCACAATCCTTTGGTAAGGATGGACACGCATATCGTGCCTTCGAACTTTAGTAGCCACCGCACCTAGTTAAATTGCAATTACCAAGACAAAGTTAGAAAACATTCACAGAAAACATTAACAGCAGGTTTATCAAAATGGATTTAAATGATCATTAACTACAAAAGTTCATTTTAAGAAAAGCAACAAGTTAAGGCACAGTAGTTTCAAATCTTAATCTTAAAAAGAAGTTTATCTGTGCAGATTAATATTGCATTTATTTTAAACATCCTGGCCTTAACCTGTTTAATCCATTCATTTACAATCCCAAAATTACAGTATTTCATGAAATCTATTAGACCCAAGCACATTTAAGCTTTACTAGTCACATATTCACTGAAGTGCCTTTCTTGCAGCAGGACTATTTTAAATAATGCCATCTTTAATACTGACAATTATTTGCTAACCTTAAGATCACTTCCAGTTCTACCACAAAAAAATAAGTTTTAAAGCAATTCTTCAAGCCTACAGATTGTGATTTTAAACTTTAAGTCAATAAGTATGAACTGCAATGAATTAGGTGATTAGTAAAGCAAACACTATATAGAACACTTAGCAGTCAGTATACTACTATACACTCATAAATTACAGCTACTCTGTAATAATAGGACCTAATCCAAATTAATAGCACTATTTTATTTTAAATCTATGTGCAAAAAAGTGCAAGTAAGTCACTGACTGCTAGGCCAAGCTTTTTTCAAGGCTGCTGAAAACTAAGCATTTGTTAAAATTCAGATCTGATGAAGGATCAGTTAAGACCGTTCTTGAATTCTTAGCCTTTCGTTGGGAAAGCCATACCTGAAGATAAAAGGAAGGGAATTGAAAGTTAGTCACCAACTAAAATTTGATCCCAACACCAACATCCCCAAAAATACTGACAGGGATGCATTTCTCTGCCATTTTTAACAGAATTATTTTAAAACATCTTAAAGGTCCACCACACAAATGGACAAAATACTATTAAATGAGAATGAGTATATAACAAAACTCAATGCAATCCAAATTTAATGCAATTAACTCCATCCAATTGCTCAGATAATAGAGCAGATTTATTAAGAATTATCAATTCTAGGCAGCTAATGTGGGAGTGTGGGGTTTTTTTCCCCGCTCCCTTTTCCTTCTTTAAATAACGTTTTTTTGACGAGGTCTGGTTTGGGCAATACACCTCACACAGTTAAGGCCCAAGAGTATACAACGGTTTCAGATGCCATTTTAGAAGTAATTTTCATTTTTCCCTCATATCTCTTTATGGGAAATCCTGCGAGAAATCCAAGTTCCCTGCATTGTAATAAACTTTACTCTGGAATGCTGTATTTCTTTACTTGCTATTAACTGAATTCAGGAGAGGGGCTTCCCACTAACCACTAACAGCTACTTTGCTGAACTCTCTAACTGTGACTTTACCCCAGGATGTACCACAACTGGACTCACAGACTGAGGGTAGAGGAGCTAGGAGGAATATTTACATGTTTGTGGGAAATTAATAAATGATAATGTTATCATATGCTTGCAGAATTTTGGCAGCGGGTTAACTGACAACAACCATAAGCTGACAGACGTACTGCATACTTTTGTCCTACTAGAATTTTTGTTATTGATTCACTAATCCTGCAAGACAGAAGTCTGAAATACATTTTCTTTTTTACTGTACATAATGTGGAAACATGCACACATAGAGACAACTCACCAAGTATTTGTCACGTGAAACACTGATTTTTTTTGCAACACTTTCAACAAAATATTGACTTTGAACCTTATTGTCCAGTGTTCATTACAGATGTTTAGAATTCGTGTAAATCAATAACTGCCACTGAACAAACTAAGATCAAAGTCCTATAAAATCAACATTATGCAGCACCAAGGTCATATGCAATTCAGAACAAACTGAAGAGAAAAGATTATTTAGATTCTGGAGAGGGTAGGGAAGGAAGAAACTATTGGAACTGCTTGTTCCATATTGGCCAGTTAAGTGAATTGTCACTGCTGCTTTATCATTCTTGCCTTCACACACCAAGTCAGTGGTCTTGAGATATTAGGAACGATGGACATTTCAATGCAACATATACAAAAGAAGCCATCAGTAAAGTTGCTAATTTTATTGTCCTTTGGTGAGAACTTGGTTTGCTTTATATTCATTCACTGAAATAATTTTCTGCTCACAATATAATTTAGTGCTTTCTGACACTGAGATTTATCAGTTGTGCACTAAATAAACAAAAACTCCAACTGAACAAAGACTTTTCCACTCCTTCCAGTTTTGCTACAAATATGATATAGCAAAATAAGAAGCCCTCTCTTGCAAAAATTGCTGGATGTTAATTTATGTTTATACAAACTGCTCTGTTATTCATAGGAGCCCAGACAATACATAACAGACCTCAACTTGTATTGAGCTTTTTGCCCCCTTGCCTATGTATCTACCATCTAATATCATACAAACATTAAGACTTTCTTTTTGGTAAATTTATTAATATAAACTAAGCACACACATTCAGGAATGCCGAACACATTTAAAACGTTTAAGAGCTGCACCATTTGAGCAGCTCTCCTGGGCGGTTTTGATATACCCGAAATAAGTTTGTTGCTTCAGCTTTTTTTCTTTGAGCTCCATGAACCTCAACCCCGCAAACAAACACAACAGAAGCACAACACAATCTCCAGTCATCCACGCACAAAGGTCTTACCTAATACACCACTAGGCTCAATAGGGTACTCAAGGATTGATGTAGCTGGTGCCAGCGTGTAGGGGTACTCGTATGGTGTGTAAATTAAACCGGCCTCGGGTCCGGGTGGGACTATTGCAGCGGTGGGATGAGGAGTTCCGTTTGGCATGACAGCGGTTTGTATTTGTCTGATCAAAGGCATTATGGTAGGGCCAGCTGGCGTAGGAGTACGCAGGGCAGCTGGTGGGAGAACAGGCGCAGGCCCAGTAATAATCCTTGGAGCCTGGGCTGTTGCTGCAAGAGAAAAGGCAAGGGCTGCTACAGTAAGCAAAGAAATTCAGAGGAAAGTATGGAGATAGCAGTACAAAACGTGGAAAGAATGGGAAAAAAGGGAAAAAGTAGGAAAGAAGAAAAATAAAAGGAAATCATTAGTACATGCGCTGATCACACAGTGCCAAAGCACACCATTCAAATGCAAACAGCTTTCCATTTTCCAGTGTGATTAAGTATGAACATGCAAAATAAAAAAGCCATTGTAAAACAGTGAGGTAGATTTCTCAAACAGGTTACACAGCACAAAAGCTCAATTTAGACCACATTTCTTCATTTATGCTATCAAGACTGCATGAGACTGAGATGCATGCAGGAAATACAAGGAAAATACTATCACAATCAAATACAGAATACAAAATTTAGTGTATCTATAGAGTCCACAAACACTCAGTTATGCAGAGCTGTTGTGTGAGTCTAGAGTTTTTGTATTTCTTAAAATTGGATTTAAACATATACATAATTCCTATTTCCGGGATCAGTGAAGCTGAAGGTGACCTAGAAACATGAATTGGTCCTATCCTACCCTAACATGAATAGAATAGGTTCAAATTTTATTTCCATATAAAATTTCACCAAGTAACATACTTCCTTTGTATGAGAAGTTCACCATTGCCCTGCTTAAGTTAAAGAAAATAGGTGGTTTTTCTGTTTTGGTTTGGTTTTTTTCTTGTTTGTGGTGGTTTTGTTTGTTTTCTGAAGTGGTACTAGCACATTCAATTAAGTGTTATTTGAAACCTAGCACATCTGCTGGTAACAGTCAATCTTAAAGGGTTATAATTTATGTATTTCTATGCACTACTGTTGATCTACATTGATTTAATTTACTTACAGGTGGCCTGAAAAGAGAAATGTGGTAAAGTTTTTCAGATTTGGTGCATATTTAAAATTATTTTTATTTTTTAAACAAAAATGCTCAGATAATTTAAAACTGGTGCTCAAATATTTATACTTCCTTTCTAAAACAGAAATAAACCAGTACAGCTTCTACATCTTCAACTCTTCAGTAAAATGCAAACACAAAGACTGAAACTCTTATCAAATGATGAGTAATGGCAATCTCCAGTTGAAAAATAAATGAAAAAAATCCATCTTCCCACTTACACTGATGCAACAGACCAATGGGAACAGACCAGACAAAGAAATTGCTCAAATTAATAAAAAAAATGTCTGTGTAAATTTTCCATCAATTTAAGCTATTCTGAAAGCTATTTTAATAATAAATTTGCAATAATTTAGAGACTACCATATATTTAAAATGGATCTAGCTTTAAATATATCAGTGCTCATTAGGGCTGAAAGATTTACCATTACCATTGTAGTCGTAAAAGCCCTTGCTTATGTCCCTTTTCAAATCAGAATAATTACACTGGTGTAAGCACTCTCAAATTGACCTAACTGCATTCCAACCTTTAAACATAATCAACACTGAAATGGGGACTGTGTGGAGAAACAAATTTGCAAATATCAGTAGGTCCTTAGTGAAAAGACTGATTTAACTGTGCTTGCATTTGACATCTGTATCACAGCTACAGCAAAAATGTACTTTTGAACAGTGTCAGCAACTATATTTTCAGGAAGAGAAATTAGATTTTCAACTGAAGAAAATAATTTGTATCACACATAATAGGTATGTGCTTTCATTAGTAGGTGCGTGTAATTAATTTTCAAGTGTAAACTTGTGCATACATGCGTTTGCAAAAGCATTTTCACACAAATGTAATGGAAGTAATCGTAAAAACGGCTCATTACATCACTGATCCGTGTGAACTCAGCTGTGAAATCAGTTGATGAATTGTTGGTAAAACATAACATTGGGGGTACACATGCAAGCAAGATGAAAGGAAGGAATATAATACAGAAAAATGTATTCACAGTATCCTGAACATCTGTAACATTTTAAAATTACATCTCTAAAAATAAAAATGCAAATGAGTCCACTGTCCTTTATATGCTTTAAGGAAAAAAAAAAAGACTGTAAAATAGAAAAATCTGCTTAAGGGTTGAGGTTTTTTATACTATATATATTTGTAAATATTTCAACCCATACATACTGTTAAAAAAATAATGGGGACAAGAAACAAGCTAAAAAACCCTGCCAATGGACGTAACTTATCCCCCACAAATCATTTGCAACTGCTACCTACAGTTTTGTTGGGTTCTTACTGCCTTCCATTCTCCAGCATAAGTTGCCAATGTACATTTTCCAAAGGTAGCTTTAATATTCAAAACCTGCAAACACTTCTAGGGCATTGACCCCTGAGCTCATGACATGCTTACGTGATTTGATGTTGGCATCTCTGTAGGTGCCATTCAAAATCGCAAGCTCCATCAGCTGCATCTTTTTAAGGCTGTCTTCTCCTTCTGCCTGTGTAGGAGAAAATGGGAAGGAAGTCAGGATTATGAACTCACTAATGCACAAGATCTAAGTGACCTAGAATAAAATTGTGCAAGTTTAACCAAGCAAAATACCTGCTTGCCATTAGTCACAAAAGCAACAAACTTTGTCAACTGTTCCATGAAATTAAGTGGAAGTTGCCAGTTGACTATCATTAGGACTTGTTGACAAATATCTTAAAAGAGTTTTGGAAAAAGTTCATAACATAAATTATAAAAATTAAGGATTAAACATAAGTTGCATTTGGTAGAAATCATTTAAGGATTTTTTTTTCCCTCAAATACATTTTCACAATACTCCTAAAGGCATCTTTAAAAAAATTGTATTATTGGGCCAGAGGATGGATAGCCATCACACATTTTAAGCACTGCAGTTTATTGTAATTTGCTCCATTAGAGTCGATACTGTGGGGGTGGGGCAAACAAAAAACATAAACAACAATCTCTGAGCAGCTTTCCAGACAGGATATTGACAACTGCCCTGAGGGTGAATTCCTAATTCTGGCACACGTAGATGTATTCTCATGAGGATGTAACTACTATTTACACAGCACACATTACTCTTGGTTTTGCTTCAATTAAAAATACTTCCCTGAAGTTACCTACTCTATTGATAGGCTGCATGAATACTAAGTAGTGTTCAGTAGAACAATGCTCGCTTTTTCAGTTAATAATAAAAACATTTCTAAAAGTATAATTTCATCTTTAAGACCAGAGATTTTCTATCTGTCTTTCCAAAAATACTACCATTTGTTTACTCTACACTCTATCGAGCAGATAATGTAATTATGATATAGGAAACCCAAGAGGGATGGTCAACATCTACTTCAATGTTAGGTTACCACCTTGCCTCCTGTATGGAATGCCAGGGCTGAAATTCTTATGTTAGATGCATAGAAGGGCAGCTTTCGTGTGAACTGCAATGCATTCTTCCTTTGCTAAACTGGTTTTCTTACATTTTTACTTACTAAATCACACAATATTTTCCAGGTATTTGGAACAGCATTTTCCATGTTAATGAGCTTGTTATATATATTTTACTTCCAAACTATGGATTTCCTAAATTTACTAAAGTCCAAAACACAAATAGTTTTCAAATTTTATCTAAGCAAATCCAGTACTTATAGTGAGGTATGCTCAAGGGCCACGACCTCTTACAAAGGGGACTTTTAGCAGCTGATTTTTATCAACAAATCAAAATCAACATGGTAAGAGATGAGTCAACACTGAATTCCTTTCAAATGTCAGAAACTGAAAGTCCCAACTGTAATACTGAGGACTTGCATAAACACCAAGATTATCACACAGTAAACATTCAGAATATACTGAAAGTTAGACATTTTCTTTGTATGTTAAATACTGTATGACAGGGCAAGCTGACACTAATACTAAAAAAGGAAAGACACATTCAATTACCATCTTAACTAGAAATTAATTGTACAGTTAAGTGCTGTACCATGCAGAAATGCCAGACCCCATAGTCCCACAGCCCTTTTGGAATACAAAATGTGCAGATTCTAGCAATCTTAACATGACACAGAACGTATTTGTAATTTACATGCAAAATAATTTTATCTTCTTTTTAAAATAAACTATTTTTACGTTGCATCTTTGCTGGTAAATTACCTAGGCAATCATGACACAATAAAACCAATTCCAAGTATATTTCCCCATCCAGAGCTCACAAATTCTTGTCATTCTGGATATACCTTATCAAAGTTATTTTAGCAATAAAGATTTTTTTAACACATTAATTAATCTTTTCCCCTCCCCCATAAGTTGTACTTTATTATTTGCTTTTTGTTTGCATTCATGTATTTATTTATTTGAAAGTGTGTAACAAAAAAACCTCCTCACAATGTCAGCTGCATCTCCCATATAGTTCCATTAATGCTACTAAAATTGCACACTTCCTCCAAATAAGACTTTCAGGAGATTGATCTATGCCATTAATGACTTTCAGTAAATGCTGAGTATTACACTCCACTTGCTAGGATAATTTTAGTAACCCTAATCCCAGATTTTGCACCACAGTGAATATTTCCCAATATAACTATTTATAGGATAATAATTTTAAGACAGAAAATATTTTTACCATTTTGATATGGTCAGAAGAAGGAGATGTAAGTCCAAATAATCATTCTTACTTTATCATTTTCCTATAGGTCACTACTGCTTTCTATTAGAAAAGATGTTGCAATTACTAGCCTTTATGAATTATGTTTATGGAAGTAACACTGGACTTAAACAAAGCAGACCAAGTCCTTAATTTTATTCTTGAGATTTACTTCTCTAGTCTATGCTCAGCAGTTGATAAACTTTTCTTCTTTTAAACAAAACCCAAAATACAACATCATAAAATGTTCCTTTAACAACTGTATCAGTAAAAAAAATCAGCGATGCAAGAAGTGGACTTGCATTACCAGACATTAACACTGCCTTCTGGTGCTTTAATTTTTAAAGCATTTATTAGACACAAAAAAAACCCTCCAACCCCAACAAAAAACCCTTTCCACCACTTTGAAAAACACGTGTAACGATGACCACAAGATCATGGTTCCGGCTCCTCCCAGAAGATGGCACTGTTTGTTGCACAATGCCACCTCAGCAGGACATGGGTCTACCCTACCAGTGCTGCCCAAAATCCTCGCACCCTTGGAACAGTCACTTCACCTCTCCTCATGGTGAAGTCACGGGACCCTTTGGGACACACTGTCGTGTCCTTCACTCTCTGGTACCAAGCTCTCCACTTGCACATCCTTCACCAAGAGCCAACCCCCCAAATTTCCAAGAGCTGCTTCAGAGCAAGGGGCACATGTTTTTCCCTGCCCTATCCTCTCACTTCCTTGCTGACAGATGATCAAATGAGGCACACAAGATCTATCTTACCTCCAGGCATTCCTGCAGGCACTCTCTGTTAAAGCAAAGAGAGGTTGCACCAGGGACACAAAGGCAATCTCTAAAGGGACAGTACATTACCTGTACAACAGCTGCAACAAAGCTCAGTCATTTGTACCAAAAGGAAGCTACTTTGAGCAAACATCAATAAGGTCACTTAAAACCAGATTTGCATTACTAAGCTGAAGCTCAAGTGATTGACTCAAACCTCTCATCCTCTTAAATCTCCAGTGCTTTCCTTGTATTTATCATGTACAATATAACATGCAGATTAAAAAAAAAGCCTTAAATGGTATCTTGAAACATAATTCTTTAAATGTAAGCAACTACTTGCAAATGCTCACTGAATACAAATATGGAAGAGATGGAAGCAGTAAATCCTAACAAAGCCAACTGTGCACAGACATCACTGGGTGCTGTTCTGTGAACACAAAGCCTGTAACTCCTCACAGCAGCTCAACTCTACCTGGGCTAGCAATAAATAGACCTAAAGGAGACCAAATGCCAGTGAGGACTATCATTTTAAGTAACTTGCTTTTTAATCTTTGTCAGTGTAGGATTAGAGTTACAAGGCTCAAAACACAACAAATGCCACCTACATGAAGTCTCTGGGAAACACGTCCTAAAAACCACGACTTCAAATTAAACACAGTGCTGACCACACAAATGCCCATTAAAACAGCAATCGTCTTCCCTACTTTGTACCAACAGTTTCACAAAAAAAAAGAATGAAGTAAATTTATTATATGACTGATATTAGTAAGAGCTTGTTTCATATCCTGAAATGGGGAGCTTAGATAAAACACTCCAATGAATTATTTTCATTATCAATGTCCAAGCTGTACTTCAACCACAGATATCCCAAGACCTCCAGAAAATCCTTTAATTTTAGGTACTGAAATGCCTCTGATTCTCATGTGCATACAGTACCCTGAGAAGTATCATACACTTTATCTTCTTATTTATACACAAAACATACATACACTAGAAACATTTGTTATCCAGGTGGAAGACAGACAGGCATGCAGACTCCAAAGGTAAATGCCTTCATTGTGCAATGTCAATGAAGGACTTCAGCAGATGACAACAGTTTTCAGAGGTGAAAGGTGGACTGTTAGATTCTGTTAACTCTGAGAAGCCTGTAACAAATTACAGCAGAGAAGGAAAGAAAGACAGTATTTAAAAGAAGCATGAAGTAGCAGTGTTTAGGATAGAGCAGAGATCCATGAACTAGACCTATGGAGACAGGCAGTGGCCACACTGCCCGGCCATACTGCTGCCAGGCCCAAAAGGAGCATCACTGCAGCTCAGGTAATTCAGAAACCAAGCAATCCACTCACTTGTGTCATAGCTGGGATATCTTATTCTGACAGAGCTTCTTGAGCCTTACAGCCTCATGCACATAAGTCTCAAAATGCTAATTTTCACTATTACCAGGGCTGGAAGAGAAGGCTTTCAACACATTTCTACAAACATAGGTGCTTTCCCCATATAATGCTCCAATTTCTTTTAAAGTAACTGCTTTGGAAAATGTAACAGATACCCTTCTTTTTCCCTACATTCATAACAAATAGATCCTCATATTTAAGTGATGTCAGTGACTTTCACAGACAGTCTAGCTTCCAGATGTCATGCATTTTGGATCACGTTTTTGCAATCCTGTCACATCCCTATACTTCAGCTGAATTCTCATGAACTGAAGTGAGCCCAGCCCTAGGAAAGGCAGCAGACAGTTTTATGATTTTGGACAAAATGCAGTGAAGTATGGCTTTGGGGCCCAGTTCTTTATAAGCTGTCCAGGGCAGTCCTTTCAGGCTCAGACCAGGAGCAGCAAATGGGAAGAGAAAATGGTGGTGAAGCAAAACAACAGCCAGATCAGCCAGGAACACAAGGGCCAAAAACCAGTCTCCATCTTCCCCTGCCAACTGCAGCAGGCCTGTCCTAGCAGCTCATGGAAAGAATGACCAGGGGCCTCAGCAGCATGACAGCACCAAAGGGCACTTCTCTCCCAAGCACCTCAGCAAGCTCTCCTGCAGAGCTGCCTCCCTGCCTTCTCCACATTGCTGCTGCTTG